CACCAAAGTCAGTGGAAGATCAGAGACACTCGTTTTTTTTCATATGTAAAAGCTGCTGCTTCTTCTTTCTGCTTTGGATTTTGTTCTAAAATAAAGATATTAGTAATCAGAAAATGGCCCATGTGTCAGATTATAATACAGCGTGAGATCTTGTCTTAATCTTTATTTCTATAATAGGTAGGATTTGGGATTAGGATTTAAGAAACATTTAAATTATTAGATTATGAAAGCACAATTTGAAACAGGAAATTAAGATCAGAGCAAATCCTTCAAAGAAAATCAAAATGATCAAAATCATTTGAGATGTTTTTGATAACATCTACTTGATGTAAATTGGAAACTGAAAACACATCAAGGCTATTTTCTATCATCGTGTGTGTGTGTGTATGTGTGGCAGCCTTTGTGCATGGCTTTGCCCATGTTTGGTGTGAGGGGGAGGGTCAGAATTTTGCAGGTCCTTTCTGATGTAAGCTGATGTGATTATTGTTCTATTATTCAGTGGAAGACACTGCATTTAAAACAAAGTAATGACCCGGCATTAAATGTTGCATGTGCAAACTAAAAGTATAAGTGAAGATGAGAGTATATTTACAAATAGAGGAGAAATATTGAAATAAAGTAAAAAGTATGTGAAAAAACAGTACTTTTACTTCACTTTGGACTGAAAATAGCTCATATAACCAAACTCCCACATATATTTGGACTTTGAATCAAAGCCAGTGCAGCAACACACTATGTTATGATTGTATAACCTCGCTGAGCATCACATTGTCTGGGTTTTACAACCTGAAGGTGTTTTCTCTTCTCTCCTCGGATCCTGCAGAGAAAAACTTTACCTCCACACGCTCCTTCATTCTGGGCTTTCAAACGACACGTGTGCGCCCCCTACTGGTTCAACGAGTCCAGTGCCATCATGGAAAAGGGAAAGTTTAACGCAGCAAACGTGCATTCAAAATATCTTATTATCAAAAAACGTAAATGTGCGAACGAGTGCCGGAAAGTGACTTTTAACTTTACGGTAATGTTGAACTTGTAACAACACTTTAAAAAAAAAAAAAGTGAAACAAAATAAAACTTACCGAGAGGTGACACTGTAAGTTTTAAGGCAATATGTCCAACAACACACTATAGGGATTTGACACCATGAATTATATCATGTTATTTGTTTATTTTAGAACATTTCGCTGAGATTGTGTTTTGCTCGCTGAAGCTTCACGCTCTAATCAGGCAGTTGGACGGACAGCCACCCGGGGTCCTCAATCCTTTAACGCGGACATGCGCACAGGAATATTCCTCTTTCTCGGTGGACGCAATGGCGGACGCAGAGTGAGTGTTTGTCTCTGAATAGAAATCTAAGCACATCCGCTGTTAACATGTCGATCTTTGTCCATTTTACCTCCTGGATGAATAGTTTAGTTTCCCTGCATCATGCTCAGGGCGGTATTGTTGAGGATTGTGGGATTGTTACCGATATTATGGCGACTTCATGTGTAGCCAGATAGTCAGAGTACAACATGGCTGTCCCTGTAGCCCCCGTGCTACTTAGAAATGGCTAGTTTCAATGCTAATGATGTGAACCAAGGTAGGAACTAACCGCTAAATGTTAATTAATTTGTGTTTGTTAATGATTTTTAGTCATGTAAAGTAATCTATAGAGTGGTTAACTCAGCGTGTATGGCAGCCGGCTAGTTACAGGCTAACAAGCTAGCAGCTACAAGCGGAGACAATGTGTTTCGTCAGTAATTATAAATACCTTTGTTTTTATTTGGGTTAGTTTTGTGCTTACGAAAGAGTCGCTGAGTTTTCTATGTCTTCGACAGAAAAAAGGTTCCGGCGGTCCCTGAGAGCCTTTTGAAAAGGCGAAAGGCCTTCGCCACCATGAAGGCCATCCGTATCAAGAAGATGCTGGCTGAGAAAAAAGTAGGTCCGAAGACATGAGAAATGAGCTCTGTAAAGACCTGATGCACGTGTATTAACAAGGCTCGGTCTCACTGAAGATGTGCACGTGTATCCACAGGCCCGCAAAGTGACCAGGAAGCTGATTTACAAGAGGGCTGAGAAGTACCACAAGGAGTACAGGCAGATGTACCGACGTGAGGTCCGTCTGTCCCGTACTGCTCGCAAAGTGGGAAACTACTATGTCCCAGCCGAACCCAAACTGGCCTTTGTCATCAGGATCAGAGGGTGAGTTGAGTTCACTGTGTGGGAACACAACTGTCCCGGTTGAGCACAACGTTGTTAGCAACATTTACATGGATTACTGAGGGTATAACTGAGTATGATTCAAATATTATATTATTGAGTGAAGTTCATCCTGAAATCCTGTTGCTTTTATGGCAATATCATGCAAGCTACATGTGTAAAAGTAGTTTTAGTTACTCAGTAAAGTAGCATGACAGTGATGGCGTCTTAAAGACTGTTTAAAACTCTCAACATGCTTTTTATGTCAGTGAGGACTTAATTGTGAGTTGGTGTTCAAAACATTCATTCAGTAACTCCTCAATGGGGTTAACACTGCAATCCATGTGAATGTTGTGCTGTGGCTCTCGTGGTTAATGATGTATTCTCTTTCCCCGACTGATCGACTATGGTGATTCATGTCTTAAATAAGCCAATTATAATCTGAAACCACACATAAAGCTGTGATTTGACAGAACTCTGACACTGAATCATGCTAATCACATCACACTTCATGTGTTTTCCAGTATCAATGGCGTCAGCCCCAAAGTCCGCAAAGTTCTGCAGCTGCTCCGTCTGCGCCAGATCTTCAACGGTGTGTTCGTCAAGTTGAACAAGGCTTCAATCAACATGCTGAGGATCGCCGAGCCGTACATTGCTTGGGGGTAAGACATTGTCTGTTGGATGCAAATGAACACGTTTTCATTTTGAGTGCACACTAGAATCAGGATTAAAAACATGAATATTGATCATGGAACTGATTGCCTGTCTGGAATGTGGTTAATGATGCTCAACTTTTTTCCCCATCTTATCGACCCTGGTGAATTTCGACTGAAAATAAGCCAATTTTGTCTGAAACCACATTTCATGACTTTAATAGATTGTAACAGTATTACACCTATATTTGCAATATTAAGTTAAGCTGTTCTCACAATGGAGCAAAGCCACAATTATGAAAAGCATTTGTAGTATTTGTTTTAAATATACACATCCCTAAAGGAGGGTATAGTTTATTGACCTGTTGGTATCAAAAGAGATGTGAATGTCTGATGCTACTAGTTGTGCTGTGACATGAAATTAACAGACCGTTAATACCTAAGGTTCATAGTTTTATGGTGATTGCTTCGTACATGAATTCATTCACTGCCATGATTTGTGTGTCACCTGAAGTCTTTCAAAGCTCATTCATTACATCCAATCTGAGTGTTGAGAGCACCAAACGTTTGTTTTTAACCATTCTTTCATTGAAAGATGATTTGAGTTTGTCTACTCATCTCACTGATGCTGATAGAGCTTCATATTTTCAGTAAATGTCTAATTGTTATGTTATGCAGCTGGTCAGTGACACTGTAAAATTAGAGTTTGAAAATCATTCCATTTCTTAATGATTTGCTTATGTTTTAGTGTTGCTTGTTTAGATCCCATGTTGTTGTGAAATGCATTTATCAACTTGATTTGAACTCATTTCAAATTGTTTGTGACCCACTTACACCCCCAGCTACCCCAACCTGAAGTCTGTCCGTGAGCTCATCTACAAACGTGGCCATGGCAGAATGAGGAAACAGCGCATCGCCCTCACAGACAACGCTCTGGTGGAGAAGGCTCTCGGTATGGCATTGTTTTAACATTCACAAAAATGTTATTCTGCATAGGTCTATGTTGAGGTGCTTTTTAGAAGAAAACCCATGAAACATAAGAATAACATGAGGTCATGAACAAGGCTATCATGAAATGTTATATGCTTTTGTTTGTGTAGCTATATCAGAGACTAAGCCATCATGTGTTATAAGTACATGCAGGGTGAACTGTTGCATAGCCTTAACATGTACGATACACTAAGGCACAGCTGCATGTGGTTAATGATGCACACTTTTTTCCCCGTCTTATCGACTCTGGTGAGAAAACTGAAAACTAAGCCAGTTTGGTCTGAAACCACATGTCAGTCTGACCTTACATCAGGATCTTCTTTATATTCAATTTAAATCTGAAGAATGAGTTATTTGAAAAATAATTTGTTCAGTTACACATCTAACACTCAAGTATTTTTTTTCTGCAGGCAAATATGGCATCATCTGTGTTGAGGACCTCATCCATGAGATTTACACAGTTGGCAAGAACTTCAAGCCCGCCAACAACTTCCTGTGGCCCTTCAAACTGTCGTCACCCCGTGGTGGTATGAACAAGAAGACCACACACTTTGTGGAGGGAGGAGATGCCGGCAACAGGGAGGATCAGATCAACAGAATGGTCAGGAGGATGAACTAAATTTATGGTGAGTTCAAGGAACATGTGCAGGTGTTGACAGTAGGAATGTCTTTAGATGTGGTTAATGATGCATATTCTTTTTTCCCCATCTTATCGACTATGGTGAAAACCTGCTGAAATTAAGCCAAAAATGTCTGAAACCACATCTGAAGCCATTAAGCATCAAATCACTCACTACAAATGCAAGACAGTGAAGATGCATTGCAAGATCAAATCTAATTTTGTTCAACTTTCATTTTAAAACATCTGGAATAAAAGTGGTCATGATTAGTTTTTAATGGTGACTTATTTCTCTTTCAGGTTTTCAAAGGACTCATTGTACAATAAAAACGTTGAGAAAACCCACTTTTGTAAAGTTTGATTATTCCTTTAATGCATATCTTTATTTGGTTTATTTTTCCTGCTAAATGGTAATAAAATGACAAGAAGGCGATAACATGCAGATCACATGATCATTGCATATAAAAATGTGCTGGGGAATATAGTGGAGGAATTCATAATCTAAAATGATCCTGTCTGTTAGCCTCATCCTCCATATGAGCCAAATGTTGAGTAACAAAAAACAAGTGTATGTTGAATGTATATAAAAGAAAATACATTTAGTAACAGAACATTTAATTATCTGTTTAATAAAGTAAACCCTGTGGTCCTGTAGCATGGCAGAGACCGTGCACTGTCAACCAGTTAAATTAAACATGTAGGTTAACCTCCATCTTCTGAAACGTTGTCCACTGGTAATGTAATGAGCCCCGTCACCATGGTAACGTGGTGTCGCAGCCTCGCTGCTCGGTGATGATCAGACTCCTCCGGTACAATGACGGACTTATTCTCCACTTCCGCTCAATAACGGGATGGATATGTTTCTATGGCGGCTCCCAGCATGATGACTTTCCAGGTGAACTCCTCTCTACCCGCCGCCGAGGCTCGAACAGCCCAGCGGGGCCCTGACGCCTCCGGACACCTCGCGTACCGGAGCCTCGGGATGGGAGCGGGCGGAGGACGAGCCGCCTTCAGACAGAAAATCCACATGAGGAGGACACTTCCTGTCACACAGCCGAGGAGCAGTGAGTGAACATGCTACATACGTGTGCTACAGTACATGCAGCTAGCTAACATGTGAGTGAGGACCACCGTTCATGTGTGTTGTAGAGTGCGGGGATGGGGAGTCGTTCATCGGAGGCCTCATGTTCAGGGGGTAAGATGTGTCGATGGCTTTTTCTTATAATGAATCTATTATGATTTAATCAGTAAACCTGGTTATTGGAGGTGACGTTGTGGATTTGTCTGCACGAGCATTGCACAGGTAGAATATAAATATACATCTTATAGGAGATAAAACACCAATTCATCCATCCTACATATATTTATCTGATTATTACTTCATTTCTTGATCTTTCCATCTTCATGTCTAATTTTATAGTGCTGTTATACCTTCTGGATCCGTTAGGGGTCGCTCTCAAGAAATGCATTTAGTTTTTTGTACTATGAGTAGATATACTTTAAATAAGAGCTCAGTAATATTAGGATCCGCTTTATTTGTCATGTATGTGTTGGTATAGCACTGTGACTGGGGTAATGGAGCTCAGATAGAAATACAACAGACAGGAAACCAGCAAAATAAAAACAACTACTGTGTGCGTCATATATTTGTGTGATATTTCACTTTATAAAAGATCTCATAGTAATAATAGCTTACTCACTGCATGTTGTTATTTCTGGGTGGTATTCAAGCTTGTTGAATATGTGCCTGTATGACTAATAATTTCACTTTTTCAATGTACGTGCAGGTCGCCTCACATGACCAAAGAGTCAGAGAATGATCCAGAGGAAGTCTATGGGAGACACTTTCTCTTTGATAACAAATGTAAGAGCTGCAGATTACGGCCTTGTCCTTCTCACTGTTACATTTATAATCTTGTTTTTTATTTTAATATTCCTTTTTTCATATTTAAACATTCAGGAACATTTACGGATCAATTCTGAACCCCAAAACCTTAAAATGTTTTTAAAGTGCATTAACAGTCTAATGGGATAAACCTGGAGTTTGAGGCCTGTCTGTGTCATGTAACCTGTCAGCCACTAGATGGAGTTGTGATCATATACAAACACAGGTCCCATTTCAGTGACTTCACCTTTTAGATATTACAACTTTTCATGCAGAATTAACAGAGTTTATAAAAGCAAAATATGTTTGTTTGATTTGATAAAACATAAAATCTCACTATTTTCAGGTGCCAGGTTTGAGAGAACCAGAACCATGATTCCTCCACTGCTGAGAGACTACCACAGACCTGGCACCCTGCACCCCCTCCGCCTCTCCAAGGAGCTTTCCCACAGCCACGCAGGGCCGCCCTTCACCCTGGGGTAACCGGCAGATTCACGTCACTCAGTCCCGTAGTTGTCGCTGTAACACTTCAAAGCATATTTCTGGAGACAGCTGCACAGATTAAACCAATTATACCGAGCCACTGTTTCATTTATGACAATTTCCAGGAATGTGAAGGAAAGAAAACCGCTGCCAGAGGCAATTAATATTTGGACTCGCATCATTTATTTGTCACAAAGGGAAGATTTCAAGCTTTTAATGTTTAACATTGTGGTATTATTGAGTGCACGATCATCGCTAAAATATCCTAATAATGATATCACAATTATTTATGACTATTAGTCATCCATTTATGGGAATGTTCTAAGCTTTGTTAATGGTGGAAATCTGCCTTTGCTCTCACAAAATACCTAAACCTCTGAATGCATTGATGGGAAAACTTACTTATTGTGTTTCACACAAAATGAGTGTCTTTTTAAACCTAAATCTAAACTAGAATGGCAGAACAGCCCCCTTATGAAAATCCACTAGGTCCGCCGTTTTATTTGGATCTGCACCAAGTTGTACAAACTCATAAATATCAGTCCTCTAAATATATCAGAACTTTTTCATCAAAATCCATGAATTATTGTCTAAGAAATCAATTCTTCCCTGACTCACACCACAACCTTCCATCAGGTTTCATGGTAATAAGTCCAGTCGTTCTTGCATCATCCTTCAAACACACAGGAAGACTAAACCTTACCTTCTTGGCAGAAATAATACAATTAGGCTGATGGCAAAGTTCCATATGTCCATAAAATATCCTCAATTCTGTTTTCCAGTTACCCTGAGAGATATGAGCTGAACCCGAGTCCAACCATCCTCCTCCCCTCCACTTTATTCCTGAACGGCAGAAACACCTTCTCAGTTGAAAACTGTAAACTCAGCAGGTATTTCCAAGCTTAAAATCTAAATCACACCGTGCCAATCAATAGCGCTCTCATTTAGTTCTCACACCCATGCTTCTTCCATTGTCCTTCTGTCCTGCAGGCCTAAGGTGAATTATCCAACCTACAACAACCTATTGACTGTTAAAGACAATCACACCAGTGAGTTATTCCAAAACCTGGACCGGGGGCCAGGCTTTTAAGTACAAGTTTTTTTTTTCCTGTACTCGGGCATTTGTCGTGGTCTTAACACGTCAGCGCTGAACTCCCGGCCTGTGTTGCAAATGAATAGGAGGGTGTAACCTTCAACCTGTACAGGTGTTTGTGACATTGATTTAGTGGCAGCAAACATGTCATTTTAATGGATTTTCCTTCTTCAAACAAGAAGCTTAGATCCCAGGCCTCTCTGTTGTCAGTGCAGGGTACCTTGTCGGCTGTGGTACATAACCGAGGTGGCCAAGGGGTCACATGGAGACAGGGAGTGTTCACTGTTGCCAAGTGCAGTGAGGGTTCTTATTTCAACAGTTTGCTCCAGTTTCTTTCAAGGGCTTTTTCTTAGTGCTGCCATTTTCCTTTTAGATTTACTCCATTTCATCGAATGGACCGGTCACACTTTTTTAAGCACACTGTGATGAGGCGGAACAAAGTATCCAAGATTTGACTGCTCATTGATGTATATTTAATCGATACCCCTCACAGATGTAGAAATAGAGAAGCAGGACAGTTAAAGGCAGGGTTTTAAATATTGAACTGAAACATTGATGGGCTGTAAATCATAATTGTGGGAAATGTGCCTAATACAGTGTTTTATTTCCAAAGTATATATCCTGATATTTTTCATTTAGTTCTCATCCTCACATCTGCTTTCTCCCTGATGGTTTCTTTTCCTTTTCTCATCCTCGCCACACAGGCCAGTCCTATCCAGACCCGGTGGTCGGAGCCTCTCGCTCTTTTATCCACAGGATATCTGAGCTGTCCTCTCTGGAGGCAGAGACGGCGAGGCAAGAAAAGCTCAAGAAAATGAGGAAACTGAGAAAACCTCCATCCTGACAATCACCTTTGTCCCATTCGCACCGGTCAAGGATTAAAACCATTGAGTCTGTGCCAACAACATCGGAACAAAATAAAACGTTTAGGGAACCGTGTTCATTTCAGTGGCTCGTTCTGACGGCTTGTTTATCCTCAGTGATTTTAGTTTCCTGCTTGTCATGGCTGCTCTTCACGTTTTGGGATTCCTGACTACAGCTTCTCTGTTCTAGTGACCACATGTAGTATTTACTGTGGCAAACTGCAGCATTTGCCCAACGATAAACGATAAATCCATTCACTATATTCCATTATGACTCACAGTAGTTTACCACTCAACATCCACTTTTTTAGTTTAGCTCTTTAATGCCCTGTAATGGCTGTTACATAATACTGACATATTTCCCGTTGTGTCATCAATAGGTTGCAGATGCTGTCCGGCTGGGATCTCATTACAACAGTGTTTTGATGATTGCCGTTATACCAATTACGATTTGTTCAGCGAGTGGGACATCTCTGTACACACTAGAGAGTTTAGCAAAACTATTATTGTGCCTTGTAATATGTCTTCCTGCAATTAAACATTTATTTTTCATATCTCAATAACTTTATCTCTTCTGTGACCCTATATTTCTGCTGAACGCAGGCTAATAAAGAGAGCTTCATACGCTACAGATTGACCGCCACAGTCCTCAAAGTGCCAAATGAAACATAATCTGAATTCCATAATCTACGAGACAGACACAAAACTGTGCCCCCAGATCCCAGAATGTGGTACTTTCCCACATAATGCATTGTTTTGTGGCTGTATAGAGGGCAGCTTACGTCTGTGAATAGTCTTGTCCATTGTGTTCGACAAAGACACCAGTCAGAGCAGTTGTCGTTTTGTTTAGAGAGAAATGAGGACGTCATTAGCTGCTGTTATTTGAAGATGTTGCGGATGCCGCCTGAGGCTGTGGGTCTAATACTGTAGAGACACCAGGACCACAGGGAGGACACGTCTGACAACGCACAACGTCTAATGTGTCACATAAACAAATTCTCGTCTCAACCCTCCTCAACTTTCACCCTTTTAATCCAATATTTGAATACAAAGTCCTTAAAACTTCACTCAGTGTATTGTCTGCAAATATTAAATGCAGAAAATGAAATATTTCCAAAATGAAGTTGTTGCAGCTGTTCCTCTTATCTCCACCGCGTGTTATCTCTCCACTACAGTTATTTTCAGCTTTACCCAGTACTAATCAGCATGGCATGGGAAAACAGAACACAGCCTCGATGGTGCACATCAGTGTCATTTGAAGGATGACAGCATCCTGCAGTCCGAGATCATTTAGAACGTGGGCAGACGGGCCTCAGAGTGACAGATTAAGGCTTTTTGATGCTGTGAAACGCTTTCAAGTGAAAGATCAAGGTTTTCCTTTGATTATTTTTGTGACATTTCTATTTGGTTTAACAAAGAGGAGACAGAAAAGAAAATTTAAGGGAGGGTCGTCCACAAAGACTGACACCTCGGATCTGGATTCGCATAACATTGAGCGTTTTGGCCACGCGGACACTTTGAGACTCAGGTGTCAACTGTGTTTGATTTAAATGAGTGTGTTCCTAAGCTCCATATTAAACAGAAATGTGCAGACAGTGTTTGTCTCCCTCCGTCGCTCTCTGCGGATCGTAAGGTGTGCATTTCAGGGACGCACAGTGACCTAGAAACATGGAACCATCCCTCGTATTCATGCTCAGTGAAGGGGCTGTGTTCACGCTCAAATGGAGGCCCAGTCTCTTGCAGGGATTTTAGCGTCCTTTTCAAGTGGACTGAAACAAAATGACCTGGAACAAACAGTCAACAATGAGGTCTTTAATAAGAGCCATACTGGGGCCTGCCAACAAGTGGTTTATCGTTTCACTGCAAGCCGACAGAACTGTGAACCAGGACAGAACCAGACCAAGAGGAGAGCACTGGTTCCATTCAGTCAATTTCTACAGGTTTCAGAGATCTTGAGGCAAGAATGCGCTTTTATTTTGTTGTGTTGCTCCCCAAAACCATGACATAGAAGAATAGAGTGGTTGTGTTTCACCTGACTTGATATTGTGCCAGTTGACTCCATCAGCAGGGATCGAAGAATGTAGCCTCTCTGCCAAATGATTACTTTGCCAACACCTCAATTCAAAACTGCCCTAAATATATTTGGGTCAGTATGAGAGGAGAAGACACAGTTTTGGGCCTGAGGATAAAGATAAGCATTTGATTAACTTAAAAAATTCATCATGACGATGTGTTAGCTGTAAACTGTTCCAGAAAGTGACTTTGGTTCAAAGGAGCCTTCTGCACACCTCCGAGAACCTGGTTCTTGGAAGTTAATGCTTGTGACTGAAATACTCCAGTACACTGCTTACCTTTGAATTCTTATAAGTATTGGCTTTGGTGTGGAAGACACATTGGACCAGAGCTACTGGATTTATTTGTCTGTAGGTGAATAGCTGGTAGGTGGACTTATTGAAAGGCCAAAGCAAGCAGTTTTCCACATCTTTGTGCTAAGCTGTGCTAATCGGCTGCTATCTTTACCCCTATGTGAATTGGACAGGAATGGGAGTGGTATCAATCTTTCCATTCAACTTCTGGCAAGAAAGAAAAAAATAAAGGTTTCTCAAGATTTCCAACCACACTTTGACACTGATTGCCGTAGCATTGCTAAACCTATTGCAGTGCAATCTTGATCAGTTAAGTGATATCTCACGACATGTCCAAAGAATCATATTCTCTATTTGCAGAGAAATATAAAATCTAATAAAAATTCCTTGTTTATCAAGGCCATAACTCTGCGACTGATTCTTCCTCCTCTGTTGTGAAACCAGTTTAGGCTCTAAAAAGGTTAAAAGATCCTCAAAGATAGTGACACAGTGATCAAAACAACTGCTACTTGAGTATAAAGGCTGCATGAGTCAACAGGGACTCACTGGTAATCTCTGTGTAGTGGTGCAGTCAGAGGTCAGATCTTTGTCTTTGTCATGATATAAACACAGAAGAGCCCAAAACTGAGTCTGATTGCAACAGAGTTACTGCGCTGCAAAACAATCTCTAGTTTCTCTGCTTGCTCTCTGTCCAGAATTTCCAGATGAGAAATTCCTTTCTTATCATGTGAGAGTGTTTGCATACAAGTTTTTGCAGCTGCCAGGAGAGCAGGTATTTTGTGTTTTCCTATCTTTATTCCTGTAACCTCAAAAATACCTGTTATTACCAGTTAAGTGTGAGATGTGACATGTTCTCCAACAAATATGATTGTCAGATCCAGTCCTCGATGCACAGCTTTTATGATATTTATACACTTGGCAACACTCTCTCACACACACACATGTCACAGGTCTAGAGACCTAACCTTTCCACTACTTGCTGACATTTCACAATAGGATTTATGAAAGCCACAGAGATAGATGCTCCATCTCCCCTATAGTCATTATCATTACCTGAAGTTTCATCTCTGTCAGAGGCAGAGGTCAGTCCCACTCCCCTCCCACACGTCTTCCTTCATCCACCTGCTGCTGCTTCTAATATCCTCATTGATTTACATACATATGGAACTACATGCTGGGATAGTTTGACTGATGAGGGGACAATTATCAGAGATGATGTCAGGTTCGGGCAAAGGAACAACTTCTCTCAATATAACTGTCTTTGTTGTCATTACTTTGGCACAGCTCCGAGGCCAGTCGGCCTGCAGAGCCGTTGCCAGACCATCATCAGTCCTGGAGAAGCGTGTTATCATCCATAAACCATCACTCAGTAATGACCCGTAATGAATAGAACGTCATTAGAGGGATGTACAAGGCGGCTCGTCATAATAGATGCCCATGATGAGCTGAGGATTTTAAGTCCACGCTGCCACATACCTGTAGTTATCTGTCTTCTTTATGGAAATCCATCTGATCTGCCACATCAACCTCCTTCTTAAAAAATGCGGAGGCCAAGTCAAACATCCACCTTCTCCACTCTTTAAATAATGACTCATGCAGCTCGCTGTCCTCGTCATTCCTAAAAAAATAAGATTAAAGACTCCCAGACAATCAAATGGACAAATGCAAACATGTGGAGGGCGGAAGTCGGAGACAGCTGAGCTATAATTTCAAAGGGTCCTGGACAAAGGCTTCCATTCATGATACAGAAACTGAGTGTCCTCATCAGCAGGAAACAAACTCAGCATAATTAGCTTGAGGGACTAAATATTTGGTTAAGGTTAATTATTCCTTGGTGATTTTTATTTTTTTATTTTTTTCATGAAAAGTCTCAACTCAAAAAGTTAAAAGTAAGAAATTACAATAAAATGACAAGAGAGATTAAGTGAACTGAACTGTGTGCAATATATTTGCTTTGTCATTAGTTAATGTCAAACTATATGGAGGCTTGTTGTGTGTTCAGGTTGTGCGAGATGTTATGCAGCGTGTGACGTCATCAGTGTACCTTTCACGGCACGTGGCGAGATTAAATGGTTAATTCTAGCATTTGTCAACACGTGTTTTGAAACTATAGCAACCCAGGCCAGGCGTTACCATGGGGACAGCCACCGTTTGCATTCCCCATATAGGCGAGATGGAGCGAGAGCCCACCCTGTCGTCGCCATAACGCCCAGAGCAACAAGTGGAGGAACGCACCCTCTCATTGAAAACTAAATCTGATTAGTGTGTCTTTGTGTTTCTTTATATAGCTGCTCTTGTGTTTGTCAGGTAAACTGAGCCGTGTGTGTTTGTGTGTATGTCATGAAGTCAGCCTTTGACACAGCAGCTTGTGACACAGTTTGAAGATCATAAACAATGTCTTCCCACACATGAACAAGGGGCTTAATCCCCCTTTTCTTAGTGTACGTGAGCAGAGGGGAAAACTGCGAGCAGGGCGGGTTTGTGCGGGAAGGCTGATCGTCTTTGACAAGTGCACAGTAAGAGCAGGAGGTCCAGGTTCGGGGGCCTGTCAGAGGTAAAACACACACGCTTTGATGTGCACCTCCAACGTGCTGAAGCCACAGCAAACTGATGCGGCTGTGAGTCTCGCCTCAGTGGACGGATCAAACCTGCGCTGAGAATTCACTAAATGTGTGTGTCGGCCTGAGTGACGTCTCAGGGGCATCCCCTTTGTTTTACACAACATAAGGTGTTACAAGATGTGCACTCACACAAAATGAGAGCAGACATCTTCTTGAAATGACTGATGATAGCTTATGTGGTGATGCAGCAACAGTAAAACCACACAAATATGTCAAAATGTGTCACATTTAGCTCCACCAAGGAGGCTGTGCTCTCGTTTGTTTGCTTGTTTATATGCAGGATACGCAAAAACTGCTCACCCGATTTCCATGAGATTTTGTGCAGGGGTGGGCCACGACCCAAGGAAGAACCCATTACATTTTGGTGTGGATCCAGGATATATTGTCACAGTCACCACCATTGCGGCATTTTTCGACATTTTGTTGTTTATTTCTCCAAACATCTGACATATGTCGGGGGCTGATATTTATGAATTTGTGCAATTTGGTGCGAATCCAAATAGAAATCAGGATCTAGTGAAAGTCAGTATTTGTAGAG